ACTTTATTTAAAACTTATAAAATGATTAGTTTTTTCTCGAAATAGCTCATCAATGAATATGAACAATTTATTCGAAAAATTGAAAAACAACATAATCAAAAAACTGATGAATATGAAAAACGTATTGAAATTTTAATTTCAAAAACTCATGAACAATTAAAATCAATTGAAGGTGTGTTAATAAATAGTTGATTACAAAACAAAAAAATATTTTATTTTCTATTAAAATTTATTTGAAGATGAATTTGCAGAACGTAATTCTAAACAACAATCTATTATAAATGATCAACAAAAAATGATTCAAGTACTTAAAGATGAACAAAATAAAGCAAAAGCATCTTATGAAAAGCAAAGTCTTGCATTAAATGAACAATGTCTTCGTGAAAAAAATGAAATAAAAGCTGTATGTTATTTTTTTTTTTAAATAATTAACTGAAATTCATATTTTTTTATCTTTTAAGCAATTTGATTTATGTATGAAAAATCTTGAAAAAAATTTCAATACATTAACATTAAAAAAAGAACAACTTGAACGTAAATTATCATATTTAAATGAACAACATAAACATGAATTACTTGAATGTCGTTTAACATATGAAAATAATATAAAAGGTTTATTATCAAATGATGTTCGAATTGATTTAGAAAATACAATACATTCATTAAAACAACAAGTTGTTTATTTACAACAACGTATTGCTTTTCTTCAACAAGAACTCGAACAATATATACAAATTTATGGTCATAGACCATTAGCACAACCACTAGTTAAAACAACAAATCTCGAGTAACTCTCAATCAAAAATGTTTCTGTGTGATATTTTTCAGTTTGTAGAATTTTTTTTCTTTTCTGATATTTGACACTTTTTTTTTAATGATCTCAACTTTTTCTCTGTTTTGTCTTCTCAATGTAAAATGCCACTTGAATGCCATATGCTAGCTATTACTATATAGAAAAAAAAAGTATTTCTTATTTCCGTCCATGTTGTGTTTTCTTTTCTTTTTTTTTTGATATTTCATTGTATGTTTGCATGTTTGAAGAGAATTCAATAAACCAGTAGTTTTAATTACTTTTCGCATTTTCTTTTCTTCTTATAGAAGTTAAGGTAGTTTAGAAAAAGAGACTCAAACAAAATAGAATGTGATTGGTGTATTGATTTTTTTTTTTGTAATCACATACCTAGTGACATGTATTTTTTATTGACGGAGTTTCTTTTCTTTCGTTCTTTACACTTCTTTCTCACTTCGTCAAATGTATGTGTGTACGCGCCTCCGTCATTCTAATATACATGTATTGTCCCTAACTACGATACACAACATTACTCATTATTCTTTATCGAGAAACCAAGTATTCAGATGAAATATATATATATGTTAACGTATGCGCCAGTGTATAATCGTTCGTTTCACATGAATGAAATTTTAAATGAAGTGAAGAAAAAAAACGGCTGACTACAGTTTCATATACAAAAAAAAAAAATTTTTACTCTTTTCGTACAGATATATACGTAGATGATGTGTATATATATAATAAATATACATTTTGTTGTTTTTTTCTTTTGTTTGTCTAGATAAACTATTTTACCAATGGAAACTGTGCAATCATTATATAAAAATCAATTTTTACGTGAATATTTTAATTCAACTCATTTACATATAAGACCATGGGTACGTGATCCAAATGGTTTATCTCATCCATTTGTATTTGAATTTGAATTAAAATTTTTTGATAAAACCTATGCTCATAATATGTACGCATGGATGAATAAATGGTGGTGGTTAAGTATTGTGTATTCAATAATATATGTTATTTTAATTTATTATGGTCGATCATTAATGGAATCTCGTGAACGTTTTCAAGTACGTTTTCCATTACTATTATGGAATATAGGCTTAGCTGTATTTAGTATATTTGGTATGATACGTTGTCTACCTGAAATGTTATATAGTTTACATACACGAGGTTTGGAATATACAATATGTGATCGAAGTAATATATATGGTATAACTGGTTATTGGTTCGTAAAAAATAGAAACAAGAGAATTTCATTATTTGTTATTATTATTATTTTTTATTATTTAGGATAACAATATTTTGTATATCAAAAGTTCCAGAACTTATTGATACATTATTTATTGTATTAAGAAAACAAAAATTAATATTTCTTCATTGGTTTCATCATGCTACTGTTTTAGTTTATGCGTGGTATAGGTATGAGAAAAAGAATACTTTTATTCAATTTGAAATAATATTTTATATATATTTAATAGTTATCATGATTGGACAGCCAGTGGACGATGGTTTGTATTTATGAATTACACAGTTCATGGTAAGTTTTGAAGAAAAAAAATATATAAGGTGTTGGAAACTCAAGATTTTAGCAAATTTTTTTTGCTTTTCAATTTATTTCGTGTTGTTGGTTAGAATATATCAAATAATCTATCTGAAATTATTTTTCTGATTTTTGAAAACAAGTTTTTCTTCGAAAAAAATTATTAAATTCTAAATATCGTGATTAGAATCATCTATTATTACAGATATGTTATCTTGACTTTGTAAAACATTACCAGGGCTATTTCCTGATTCGGCAGACAAAACATACCAAAAAAAAAAACAAGCTTATACATATAAAGTTTTTTGGGCAATTTTGTCATCATAATGTTTAGAATTTAGTTGTTTTTCATAGATAACTCGATGTTTTCTATAGAACGACAGTAAAAATATTGATAATTAAAATTTGCTAAAATTTTGAATATCATGCATATTATTTTATTGTTAACTTCGCTTTGTGTTAAGCAATGATGTATTCATATTACGCTTTTCGTGCAATGCAATACCGTATACCTAAATGGATGCAAGTAACAGTCACAGCTTTTCAATTATCTCAAATGGGTGTCGGTTGTTTTGTTAATTATAAAGCTTATTTTTATAAACAAGCAGGAAAAACATGTTATGTTGCTTATGCAAATATATTTTGGTCATTTGTTATGTATGCTGTTTATTTTGGTTTATTTCTTCATTTCTTTTTCGTAAATTATTTATTAAAAAAACCAACTACAAACGTAAAAATTGATGAACAAAAAAAGAACAAATAAATATTTGGTATTTTTTCTAACTTTTTTTAAAAAATTTATTTCATTATATAGTTCAATTTGTTTTTGTTTTTTCTTGTTGTTATTGTTGTCTTATTGTTAACGATAAAACATAAAATTTATGTTCTCATATATTAAGCAATCTCAGGATCGGTCGATGAAAAGCATTTTGATCGTTTACCTGGTAATATTTCTATTGTCCTAAACTTTGTTTTTCTTTTTTTTGCTTTTTATGTATCAATATTTTTTTTTTTGTTTATCTTATCTTATAAACAAATGTTGAACTTCTCGATCATAAAAGAAACAGATATTTTACTTGAGAAATAATTGTGGAACATACGTCAATATGTATTGTTTGTTTTTTTATAACGATGATGTGACGCTGGTTTTTTTTAAAAGTTCTTTTCTAAAGAAAAACAAATCTGTCATAATGATGACATTTAAACAAAAAAACAAAAAGATCTGATTCCGATGAGAATTGAACTAATGACCTTCATGATATCTGTTAAGATTATTCGGATAGAAGGTAATAAAGAAAATGAGATAGATTATGCAATGAGAAATAAATGATCGTTATGATTTTGTCATTAGTGAATAATACAGCTTGGGAACCAAGGTCATGGCACTCTGAAAAATATTAGATCGGTCCTTTAGGATTTTGTAGTTATTGCACTACGTGCTTATACTTCTAAAAATAAATTTTCATCTTTACAGAGTGTTAAATCGTTGTTCTGAAAAAGAAATCTGGATAAAATACTGAAATAATCTCAATGATGCTCTATCGATTGAGCTAAAAGACTTTTGTTATTTACTATGAGAAACGTTAATGAAATATAATGATAAGATCTACTAAATGATTTGATTCTTATCAAAATTTATCAATATGAAATATGAGAGTTTATTTAGAGAAATTTTGCTTTTCAATAGTTAAAAAGCAAATCATTCTAATCTGTTGATCAATAGACTTTAATTTAAAATGTTAAATATACATTTGATCGAGACAAATGATTGTTCGTTTATAATATGATCATTTGAAATGAAATAATAAAGTGTTTAGTAAACTAAGTGTTTTTCCTTTTCGCTCTTTCAATAGTCTTCTTCTTCGAGAAGTTTCTGGAGATTGACTCATCACGAAACTTTGAGATTTCAGCGTAGATAGATGTTGACGAGCAGAGTAAACGTTATCATAGACTCAAATTTTCAAGATGCTGTCTTCTGTAAGATACTAAGAGCAAAACAAATTAATAAGAACATGCATATTAGTCTTAATTACATATCTCGTCTAACCAATTTTGAGTGTGTCAAGTTACTTTTCGAGTCAAAGATACTTTTTGCCATCTTTTCGTTTACTGTTTATTTTTATAAAAAACGTTAACAATAAGATTTTCACGCCACGATATCTTGCTTCTAGTTTTTATGTACAAAAAACAAAATAGGAACGATTCTACATAAAATAAAATTACACAACTTAAATGATGTCTTCACAGAGCGTTGCAGCCGATGTAGGATATACATTAGTTACGTACTTGGACGTTTCTAAGATAAATATGTAGAGGTATGGCTCAGCTGTAGAGAATGACGAAGGGTGTGGGTGTGGATGTGGATGTGGGTGTGAATGTGGGTGGGTGTGGGTGTATGTTGTGTCGCTAGGATCTCTACCCACACCCACACACCCACACCCACCCTCTACATTGACAATAGGAATTCTATTTTACTATTCTATCAACTATAAAACTAATTTATTCATTTGTACTCTAATATATGAATATAATAAAGCGACATAAGACTAATCGATAATGATCATAATCTTGAAAACAACATAGGATCATTTGATAAATGTCAATTTTTTCAATTTATTTATTCATTCACTGATATTTTATTGAAAAAACAAAATATAATTATCAAAATTATTTCCATTGTAAATAGATATTATTATTTATACGTTTAATTGTAAAATCAACAAGTAATTGTTCATATTTATTTATTTCTTGTAAATATTCAATTGTTTGATAATTCGCTGCTGTTTCGTGAAAACATAATGAATGAAGATAATGATTATTCCTGTGTAATTTCTTTGAGAATAATTTGTAAAAACATTTGAATATTCATATTAATGATATGCTTTACTTGGAAATGTTTTATATAATGGCAAACCATGAACAAACTACCAACGCAATGTATATTGTTGAGCACTTCAACATAAACAGCATTAATTCGATTTCTTTTTGCACAAAAAATAGAAAATTCTTCCATGTTTAATCCTCTGTCTCCATCTAATAATAATGAATAAATTTTTAATGTTAATAAATCAGGTAATATGTCTATCATTCGGATTAATAAACAAATTGATGTTGGTGTTTTATGAATATTTAAGTGATAAACGTGTGTGATTACTAAAATACGTTTTATGTCATCGATCATCATATCATCATATAATGTATCAGAACTAATCAATTTTAAAGATGTTGATGTTGAATATTGAATATTTTTATCTTCAAGTATATAATTATACCACGTGTTTCTAGAAGAGAAATAAAATTTATTAATCTTATTTAGAAAATCTTCATCTATCTACCTATATGGATAAACCATATATTTGATATCTGTATTATCAATTTGTACGTTGAATATCCATCTATGTTGAATCCAAAATGATGAGAAAAATTGATTTAAACCATAAGAATATGTTGAATATTGATTATCATTATTCATACGATCATAATATATGAAATAGAATATTTCTAATTGAGGATAATAATGTAAAATTAATTTTTTCCATCGATAAGCGTCAAGAAAAATAATATTATCTGAACAATGAATAGATAAGATTTTTAAATTTGAATATATTTCAGTTGAGAATATTTCTAATTCATTAAATGTATTTATCATCTTGTCATAATTAAATAAATAAAAATGAGTTTTAATTAGAAGTGATGAAGAGTAAAGTAGTTGTTTAAATCGAGAATTAAGATTAGAAAATGTTTCAACTATTTCACAACCATTCAAATAATCAAATATTTCATAAAAGATTTCATTTGATAAGTATTCAAGACATGTTATTAAATGATCTATAATGAGAAAAATGTCAATAACATTAGTCCCATAAGATAAATAACTTACTTCGAAATTTTTTCGTTGGTTCCTCTAATAATTCATTGAAAACCAGTTTTCGTTTAAATTTATTCATATCTAATGTATTGATTTCTTCGACAAATGTGTATTTTTGATTGTTTTGAACATATTGAATTGGCCTTTATATAATGAACAGAGAAAAGAAGAAAAGAGAAGAGTAATAATTAATTTCAGACGAAAAAGAAAATGTCAAAGGCCATTGAATGATTATATTATTAATTGGAAATAAACTGCTTCATCCGATAACAGTTGAATGAATATTTTCTCAGTCTAAAGTTTAGATATTTCTATGAAATAATTTCTTATCAAGACGTGATCATAACAGAATAATGAAATGTATTGGAATAGTGGAAAAGTTTTACGAAAAAAAATAAGAAGAACAATGAGTTGAATTGTATAAACAACAGACAATTATTTGCACATGATCATTTTGGGAAATTTTTCAACTATTCAATCATCTACTGTTGCAATATGAAGAGATAAAAAACCGATGTTGACAATTGTAATTATAATTTCTTTTACAAATACTTTCACATAAATATTATTTATAGTATTAATTTGTAAATAATTCATATAAGAAGAAAGTTTGAAAGAAGAATTATCTACGTCTCAAACAATATTAATAGTTTTCTTTTTCAGATAGAATTTTGCAATTTTATTTACTTTTGATATTCTTAAGAAACTCGTTACTTTTCTTAGCTAATTTTTTTGTCATGATGAAAATAAAGAATTAATTTCTATTGTTATACGTTTAAGTAATTGTGCCGATGAGCATACCACTCGTACATGATATTACTCTTACATGATATCATTCTAATGTTATATAATCGTTACGCTATATCATTCTTACGTGGTAGTCTTATCATGTTGAAATTCCTATTCTTTATATTGTACATATGCATCTCATTATCCGTGTTCTCTGTCCTATTCTTTGCTTTCTCTTGATTTCGTGTACGTGTATATAATGCATGGTTCTTTGTTATATGAGCACCATTTGGAGTAATGGAGCAGCTCAGTAAATATCAATATTGAGGATGACACTAATGATACTCTTCCAATTCGTTATTTACTCTTTTAAATTCGTTACAGTAACAGTGCTATTATATAAATTAATTTATCAATGGAAATTGATATTTTCAAAAATTACTGAATGATGAATCTGTGTTATAGGTAAAAGAAAACCAATAACTATGATTAATAATTGAATAAAATGATCATAATAAATGTATGTAAATTCAAGTCGAGCAAAATTTGAAAGTTTCAAAGAAGAGCCAGTCATTGGAGGTTGAAGATTTCTATAGTATCGTTTTCTAAGCAAAGAGAAGAGTGATAAAAATGATTGTTTTTATTTTACTTAAAAGGACAAATCGAATAAATAATATCTTCGACATCAATGGTAGCTTTCAAATATTCATTTTCTTTTAATTGAATATGTTGAAATAAATTCATTTAATCTCTTAGTATGTCTTGGAAATGTATAGTAAACATTATTATGTTTCTAAATATTTGAAATAAAATCTATTAATTGAGATAGAGATTTAAAAATTAATTGTTCCTATAGATGAGTATTCGAAAAAGTGATCTCTTGAGATTGTGTAATCACACATAAAAAAAATAATATTATATATTATAGTTGAAGAAAATGAATATCTTAAGAATAAATTTTAATCATTTTATTATTAATTAATATGCAATATATATTATGATTTTCAACAAAATCTAAACTTTGATTTGAATCAGATGAAATGATAAAGACTTTCAAAAACATCAAATTTTGATAAAAATTTCAAAATGAAAATATTCTATGAAATGATATTCTATGAGATATTTCGAAATTATAGGTGAATGAAAGAGATTCAAAAAAAGTTTGAACATACATATTAATCATCTATTGCATAGTGAGCCTCATCAATTTAGATTACCTAATTGATGATCGACATCCACCTTCAAAGTTCATGTTTTGTGTTAAACTTATCTTAGTGATGGAACATTAGAAAATGTTCGTTGAAACGGAAAATGAAAGTATGAAGAGTGTTTTATGTCTGGACCTTTTGGAGTGTTATTGAGAGCTTCTATTTGCTTACGAGATGTTCGACAAAAACGTCATTTTTACTGTTATTTCAATATTCGAGATAATTAAAATGAGACAAGCAACAAAAGTTAGGCGCTATTCTCGTTGAACAACTGATTATATATATGTCACGTGTAGCTGTTGTCAAAACACCAGCACAAGCAATTATGTCCGTGCTCATATCTACATCCATACTCAATTTCTTTTGAAACTGATTTTGATGTTGAATTGTCAACCTTTTGTTTTTTTAGATGAATGCCTCGAGTTAACGGCACTCAACTTTCTAGTTCGAATAATAATTGGGACTTATTCAGTTTCATCTATCAAGGGTCTTTTTGTTTTTATAAGATTTCTGAATAGCTCAGGATCAGTCTCAATTCATCAATGCTTTTAATATTTAACCTTTCAATGACAATTGTAATTACACTTAATGTCAATTTAATACAATATTGACATTAACACTTAAATAATGTCATTAAATGTTTTGTTTTTTTTCTTGTTAACTTATAATAGAACTATTTTCTTCAAAGAATGTTAAATGTAACTTTATAACTCTACCTTTATTTTCGATTTAATTTTACAAAATAGATCAATTACCTTCATAATAGTTACATAAATGATACTTTTCAGGTGAAATTAAATATTTTGTACATGCACATCAATATATATTAAAAAACGCTTTCTTAACGAAACACAACTACATACTAGCCAATGAAAAGTGGAGTCCTACGGCATTTTCTATATATGAAATATACTTGTCGTTAGATGCACAACATAAAATAGACAGATGACAAATAAAATTGGTTGTTGAAAATGTTTAACTTTTTATTCAATATTGATATATACACCACAGCAATTTTAGATATTTTATACATGACAATTAAATGTTTTTCGATAATAAATTTTATCTATTTTTTGTTTTGATATTGTAAGTTTCGATTTTGATTTAAAGAAATTAGCATAAAAATATGTTCTTCAAGATTAAATCTTTATTAATGCATGATGTCTTCTAATAGAATATATCTTTTGAAAGAAAAAAAAATTATGAAATATCTATGCAGACTACATTCTAAAAAACTTCTTTCAAATTTTTTTCATTAGTTTAAACAGTCATCATCATGATGCAAAATTTATATGTAAAATCATTCTACCAAGGAATGCATCCATTGTTGAGGCTTCTCTTAAAAATAAAACTTGAATAATGCTTCAGTAGGCCAATCAATTTACATGTTTTTTTTTTCATCATTTGATTCTATATGCATGAGAATTTCAAATAAAATAAGTACACCTATGAAAATTAGAGTAGAAATTATTTTATGAATTGTCAAATTTGAATCATCTTCATTCATAAAACGAAAGTTGCCATAAAGTTTGCTAAAGAAACATCAAATAAAGCTTATATCAAAGAGTTCTCTCAATACTTCTACTAAAATGATATTGTACAGTGCTGGTCAAGAGTTTGACCCCACTTTTTATTTTGAGTCGTGCATTAGAAGTACACAACATTAATTTAATTTGTCTATATGCCTGTGTAGTTGAAGTAGAGTGCTATCTATACATATATATCTGCTTAATATGAAAAACGCCTTGAATATAAAATACAACAAAAACCAATCAACTTCAATGCTATGAAAAAAAATCCAAGGGGGAAACGGCGGACTTGAAGTAGAAAAGTAGGCCAAAGTACGTCAAAGTAGACTACTTGAAGTAGCTCAAAATACCACTCAAGTAGCCCAAAGTAGGAACAAGTAGCTTAAAGTAACTTCAAGTAACTTCAGGTAAATTTGAAGTTGAAAAGTACT